AGCAAACTTCAGATACAAAATATGACAGACAACTTGCATATGAGTATCTCGGGGATCATGCATGAACTGACTCACCAGACTAACTGAATAGGCTATATCTGATCTAGTGTGGGAGAGATAAGTGAGTCTTCCAACCAGCCTTTGGTATCTTTCCTCATCAACTGACTCTCCAACTCTGCTTTGTAACTTGTGATTTCTTTCAATGTGCGATTTTGCGGGTCTGCAACCTTTCATAACAATTTCTTTCAAGAGATCCAGAATATACTTCCTTTGAGAAATAAAGATTCCTCTTTTTGATCTAGCAACCTCAATTCCCAACAAGTACTGCAATTTTCCTAGATCCTTAATTTCAAATTCATGTGCCAACAACTTCTTCAATCTGGCCATCTCATCTTTGTCATCTCCTGACATTACTATGTCATCAACATAAACTATGAGAAAAGTGAGTTTACCCGTTTGATGTCTTATGAAGAGGGTGTGATCATCATTGCTTTGTTGGTAACCGAAGGAGATCATTGCTTTGCTGAAACTGTCAAATCAAGTTCTGGGGATTGCTTTAGTCCGTACAATGCTTTCTTCAATCAGTATACCTTTGCTTGACTTTGTGCAACATCAAATCCAGGAAGAATCTCCATATACACCTCTTCTTCTAAGTCTCCATTGAAGAAATGTATTCTTCACATCAAACTGTTGCAAGTCCCAATCAAGATTAGCTGCACAAGACAAAAGAATTCTAATAAAGTTCATCTTAGCAACGAGGGCAAATGTCTCTTGATAATCCACTCCATCAGTCTGAGTGAATATCTTAGCCACCAATCTAGCTTTGAATCTTCAATTGAGCCATCAGCTTTGTGCTTCACAGTGAAGATCTATATGCAACCAACCAACTTCTTGTCTGGTGGTGAAGTGACAAGTTCTCAAGTCTCATTTTTGACAAGGCCTTCATTTCTTCAATCATAACTTGCTTCCATTTAGGATCTGCAAAAGCTTCCCTCCAATTTTGGGGAATAGACACGGAAGAAATAGACAACGCAAAGGCTCTATAGGAGGGAGACAATGAATTATAAGAGACAAAATTAGATAAAGGGTGTTTGGCGGTGCAAGATTTGACTCCTTTTCTGTGAGCAATAGGCACATCTAACTCATTAGGAAATGTAGACAACTCACTAGTAGAAGAGGTTCAACTTCGGTTGATTGCATGATGGCTTCTTCTGCTCTATTTCTCCTTGAGTAGGTTTTCAAATCAGGCCTATCCAAACGCCCAATAGTCTTCCTCTAAATTCTTTCTCCAATTTCAATTTCCCCCGTGACAATGTCATTAAGAGGTCCAGTAATGGAACTAGGTAGAATCACGATCACCTCTTCCTCCTTACTGTTCTCTCCCTGAAGAGGTGATGAGGTAATACTGAAATAGGACTTAGATTCTCGAAAGGTAATTTCCATGCTAACAAAAGATCTCCTTGAGGGAGGATGATAACATTTGTAACCTTTCTGTGTTAGAGAATACCCAATGAAAACACACGTTATAGCTCTAGGATCAAGTTTCCCAGAATTCCTAGTGTGGATAAAGCAAACTCACTCAAACACCTTTGGAGAAACAATATATTCATTTTACCCTTTAAAACTTCCAGAGGACTTTGAAAATTGAGGGTTTTAAGTGGCATTATGTCGATAAGATAGGCAGCCACTAGAATAGCATCCCCGGTAAGGTTTTGGTAGATGCATGGTGAACATAAGAGATCTTGCTACTTCTAATAAATGCCTTTTTTTTCTTTCAGCGACCCCATTTTGGGCACTAGTGTAAGGGCAACTAGTTTGATGGACTGTCCCATTGGACTCTAAATAAGCACAAAATAATCCATGTATTTATTGCCATTGTCAGTTCTCAAGATTTTTATTTTGGCATCAAACTGAGTATAGATCATCTTATAAAATTGACTGAAAACAAGAGAAAACTTCACTTTTGGCTATTATCAAATATACCCAAGTCATCCTAGTGCAGCAATTAATGAATGTAACAAATCATCGACTACCAGACAAAGAAACAGTTTGGGTAGGACCCTATACATCAGAATGAATGGTCATAAATGGAGTTGTGCTTCTATTATCACTACTCATAGGATAAGAGTTTTTAGTATGTTTGGTGTATTTACACGCATCACAGAACAAAGATTCAAATCGAGTCTTTGAAAACAAATCGGGATATAACTTTTTAAAAACAAAGAATGATGGGTGTCCTAACTGTCTAGCCGCTGTATTATTTCTTGGTTGACATCCTTACTTTCTCCCAAAAATGGCTTGACCAGAGTTTTGAATATCCATCTAATATATACAAGTCACCTCGCAATTTATCACTGCCAATCCTTTTCCCTGTTTGAAGATCCTGAAAAATACAATGATCGGGAAAGAACTCGATTTTACAGTTTAGAGCTTTGGTGATGGCACTAATAGATAAAATATTGATGGGGAACTCAGGGACATGGAGCACAAATGATAGTTTAATATTAGGAGTACAAACGACAAAACTTGTTCCAAAGATAGGTGTTAATGATTCATTGGCTATTTTAACATTATCTCCTTTGAGACACAAAATAGTTTTGAATGTCTTTAGAAGAGCCTGTCATGTGTCTATTTGCACAAGAATCAACAATTTAAGAATTAAGGTGAGTAGTAAAAGCATTACCTGATTGCACATGATCGGATGTGGCAATATTAGCGGAGTCAAGTTTTGGCTAGGAGGCGACAGAGAAGCTGAATTTCATCCGAAGACAAGATTTCTCTAGAAATCGTCTCCTTGAATGTCTCTATATTTCTGCCCAATCAGAAGGAAATCTGAAGAAAATTGCTCAAAAATAATATGCCTTGAAAATCAAATTTGTGTCGACAGAACCTTAACTCTGGTGAACGGAAAAATCAAAACTGGTAGGGATAGGCTCAGAATGTTCCAGCGACCCCAATAGAAAAGAAAATTCCAAAAACAAAACTGACCAGAAGGAGTTTGTGTTGCGGACAACCACCAAGAGAGAAAACTCGACCTCTCTGATAAAAAAAGAATCCTAGTGCTACGAGGGAGATAACTCACCTAAAAAAGGCAGCTATGGCTCTGATACCATGTAGATTTCGAGAAGAAGAAAATGCTTCTTATATTTCTGTGTGTGTTTACATCCCATGAGCTAGAGAATTTATACAAAGCTCCTAATGCTAATTAAGGAAATAAAATAAATTAATACAACCAATCCAGCTATCAAATAAATCAAATAAAATCAAATCTCCTGAAATCATGCTAATTATCAATCTCCTAAATATAATCAAATCTCCTTGAATCATGCTAATCAACATATGGCAATATGTGAGCTAGTTTGGATCAAACAGTTGCTCAAGGAATTGAAATTTGGTGAAATCAGCCAGATGGAACTTGTGTGTGATAATCAAGATGCTCTTCATATTGCATCAAATCCGGTATTCCATGAGAGAACTAAACACATTGAGATTGACTGTCACTTCGTCAGAAAAAAGATATTCTCAGGAGATATTGCTATAAAGTTTGTGAAGTCGAATGATCAGTTTGCAGATATTTTTACCAAGTCCCTTACTGGTCCTCGTATTAGTTACATATGTAACAAGCTCGGTACATATGATTTGTATGCACCAGCTTGAGGGGAAGTGTTAGAATATGTATATGTGTAATTAGTCCTAGTCCTGTATGTAGTAGGAGTAGATGTATTGTATTATATATATATATATATATATATATGTATATGTGTATAGGGCTCATCGGAAACAACCTCTCCAGCTTCATAAGATGGAGGTAAGATCTGCGTACGCATTACCTTCCTCAGACCCCACTTGTGTAATTCCACTGGGTTTGTTGTTGTATCATTGTTAATATATCAGTAATATTTTTTCCTGTGTATTTTTTCTCAAACAACTGATTGCAAATTAAAATCCCGATTAGGTAAGCTCTACATGGTTAGAACAAAGTGCTACTCATATTTCTTAATCTTTGTTTAACTGGGTCATATTATGATATTTTAGAATGAAATATACGTTCACATTCCATTCCAAAGCAATGTGGTAAAGTAAATCTTTACATTCCAAAACCCCTAATCATAGATTGCTAACACTAATCCCAACAGATATCTAAAAATATACTTATTTCATATAAACAAAAATGAAGCTACCCTCTATTGGAGAATCACACGTGATAGGTGGCTTGAGGTTGGAGGTGGGGTAAAAAAGAATTGTGGAGTCTGAGTTGGAGTGCTCAGAAATATGTAAAAGCTAGAGAACAGATGAGCGATCAATGTAGTTTTTTTTTCTTTTCTTTTCTTTTGGGGAATAATATTAAGCAATTGAAAAGAAAAAAGAGTTCTTGATTTTTGAGACTTTATTATCCTAAATAATGAAGCTTCTTTAGAGCCATGATTGTATTTGTTTTCTTTTTCACATGTTTTCTTGGAATTCAGCTGAATATCTTTGCTGATATAGTTGGTGTTTAGTGTCATTTTGGGTTCTTATTTAGTTAGTTGTAAAAATAAATTATGATGAAGCCTGTATGTGGAATTGAAACCTTGACTTTTCATATGGCAAGGAATGGACATGACACTGGATTGGAACAACTCCATTTGTCAAGTGGTGTTGTCCAAATATAATTATTCCCTATTTCTTTTTTTAATTATTATCTGCATATATATTTAGTAAAGTTCAGCATGCAGTGTCACATGTAGCAACGCGCATCCATCCTTATGGTCATTATGTACTGTATTTTTCTTGCAATATGTTTTAGGAGGGTATTTTTTGTGTTTCCTTGGTCATGTATATATAATTAATAGAATGTGGTCATATCATCTTGCTAACTAGGTACATACTTTCATCCTATTTGTTCCTTCTCCTATTTCCTTTTCTTTAAAAAAAAAAATTATATTCAGGTGTTGTTAGACCTACCAAGTATATTGCTATACATAATCTCATCAAGAAGTGTTGTAACTGCTGACGTGTAGAAGGATGGAGCAGTGTTTGGATCTATTGTTGGAGGCTCTAGGGTTGAAGTGCGCCGAAGTTGTGCCCAAGAAGTTGCTAGGAGGAATGTAGAAGGTTTGTTCTCTCTTTGAGGACATTTACTTCTATTGCCACTGTATTCGTAATTGTAACTGAAATCCAATCCTATGAGTAACACCAAAGTCTAGGTCAAAAAACACCTAGAGTATGTGGCAATTGTAAGTGAAATCCTCTTAATAACGAATAAAGTCAATTAGAATTTTTATAAAGTATTAGGCTTTTTCTAAGACATGCCTAAACTGATCTTCAACAATGTCGGAGAAAGTTCTTTTGTTTCATGTGTATCTTTACATCTGAAAATATCTTGCACCCACTAATGAATTTCCTTTCACGGAAAAGACTTTTCGGCAGAATTGAACAATTACAGCTATTATCAGAGAGGGGATTTTGGTCCTTTCTGATCTGCCATCTTTTACAAGTGATTCTGTTGCACTGAAGTTTACTTTAGTTAAATATTCAAAGGACTCATGTCTATATATTTATTTTGGTCACTTGTAAATGTCCTATTAATCTTTAGAACTTTTTTGGTCAATGCAGGATTTTGGATTGGTGGATTTGGACTAGGGGAAAGCATGGAAGAGCGCAACCCCCTCCTTAGTGCTGTTATGGTATGGTTCTCTTATGGTATTTCAGGCTTCTGTTCTTTTTCTTTTGGCAGGAAAAACTTTTGCTTCTAAAGAAGTTCTGCTCTTGAGACGAATGTGGAAGGCAAGGATAGGCCCACCGCTGTTTTTGAACTTACCTAATGGGCATAAAGATAGGATTCTGATCGTAAGATGTCTTGATAAGCAATTTGCTTTAGGTCTATTCTCCGTATACCAATTTTTTTGCAAGTCAAATGAAGAAATCTGTTGTTTCCAGCTTCGAAACTTAGTGGATAATGGGCCCTCTCCTCTAATTTTCTCCACTTAAACACTAAACTTGGTTCCCCGGCAGAATTCAAACTCGTCACATGCGCCTACCACATTTTCGCGCTCTTCTACTTTTGCCATTGGACCAAACCTTTGGGTGCTATTCTCCTTATACTTTAAGGAGCTCTGTTGACTACTTAGCACCTTATGTAATGTAAAGTGTAAACTGATCTGAGTTTGACTCGAATGCCGCATGAGTCAAACTTTTATCAGGTTTTTAGTTTATTTGAAGGTTCATATCGATAGTCTGCACCTACGTCATCCCTCTCGAATCGGGTGCATATGGTCAAAGTGAAGAGTCCATAACATGGGTTCTTAATATTAGTTGTGGATCATGTATGGTCCTGCGTTTCTTGGAGTAGTTTGGTGCTGGTGCTTATGTCATGAGAGTGGATTAAGCGGTTCAAGTGCCACATTTGCTATGCATGTAATCTAGTTATAGGTGGTTCTGTATTGTGTAAAGATTTCCTTTATGATCTCCTTCAGGTCCATAAATTGCCACTCATTTTCATTCAGTCTCTTCACTTGAAGGTCAATGTTCATGCTAACTTTTTATTTTTACTAATGTTAGTTTAGGAGAAATGGGTTTCTGCGAGTTATGTTTACAATGGTACTTTATTGGATTTGGTACACTGTAAATGATTTCACTTGTTTGCATACAGTGGAAAACTCAAGTTTTTGGTGACTTATTATGTTACTGATTGCAGGATAGTTTACCTGAAGAAAAACCACGTCTTATAAGTGGCCTCGGACTACCAGGTAAAGACATCTTGAATGTTCACAATTCCTTGTTCATCTCTTCCTGTCTTCTCCAGTCGGTCTTCTTCTTTCACTCATTCACTGTTGCACTCACAGAGAAATATTTGCATTACCGGTGCATGCCAACATAGTGATTGATATTGTGTTTGAAAATAGAAGAGGAGCTTGTTTGTTTTATAGCTAGTCTAAAGAAATAACTTCAATATACCAGATTTAACCCACTTGCTTTCCGCTGTGAAAACTTTTGGATATTTAAATTAATAATTATATACTTTTTTGTGGCTGAATGGATTAAATCTTTTATGTTTACAGAAGAGGTCTTGCAAGGTGTTGCTGCAGGTATTGACCTATTTGATTCCACGTAAGTGCTAGCTCAGCATATTGGTGACTTCTTTCCTCTCTATATCTGATTCTCTGAGCTTTGCTATCGTGACATTGGAATTATTTTCCAGCTACATCTACCATCTTACACTGGGAGGCTTTGCTCTCACCTTTCCGCTTGAAAGAATAGAAACACAAATTACAAAATACCAACCAAATAGTGATTCAGGAAGTGATGGCACAAAGATAAATTTGAAAGCAACCATGTATAGGTAAGTCTTATTCATACTTCAGACTTCTAGTGATACTCAGTGTAAGTGAAATTAGCAGCATACTGGCGTAGCTACAATTTATGACCCCTCAATAACTTAGCTTGGGGCCTCCTGGGGTGGCTTTCTGGCAAAATAATGAGATGAAGTTCTCTGATAATGCATTTTCTGTCCTCCCTCGCACCCCTTCTTGCAGGAAGGATACATCTCATATCGTCGATAATTGCAAGTGTTATACTTGCCAAAATCATACAAAAGCATACATCAATCACCTCTTCAATGTCCATGAGATGCTTGCTCATATTCTTTTGGAAATGTATGAAGCTCTTGTGCCCTTTTCTCTCGCCTTTGTGGTCATGTCTTCATGATACCTAATGTGGCTTGTTTTCATTTCCCAGACATAACACACATCATTATCTGGGATTCTTTCGCTCTATCAGAGAGGCAATTCAAGAAGGAAAATTCGAGCAATTCCGGCAGAAGTTCATAGGAAGTAGGCGTGAACATCTCTTTTCTGCTGCTTTAAGCATCTAACTTGAAAATTACTGGTTGTTGATTGACATCTTATCATGTCCTGAGTCCTCTGCTTTTTACTTGGCTAGTTAGCCGCATGAGGGTAATTTTACATTTAAAAAAGAAGATACTAGATCAATGCAGATATGCAATCTAGTTAAACTATTTGTGGAGATTTTGGAAAAGAAATAGATTTTTTTGGACAAGTCTTGTGGAGATTTATTGAGAAAAAAAGAGTTCACAGTCCAAACTCTATTAATTCTGTGATTGAGCAAAAACTTTTGGTCCAAACGAATAGATTGGATAATTGTCGGCAAAGAAACAGCCGATAAGATATTAGTTGAAGGAGATGACAGAAGTCAGGAGGTCATTATCAACCATTCTGCTATAGCAATCAATTATATATGTAAGGCGCACTTATTCAACTGTAAGCTACAAAATTATATTAATCGCATTAAAGTAATTGAATTTTATTTATTATAACAGTCAGTAATTTTCCCCCGGCCCACCATTAAAGTGTATAACACTTGTATATAACATACATAATGTATATATATACAAAAAATATACAAATTTTATATATTTTTTTGGCTATTATTTTTATAGCGGCTATACAATGTCATTTTTCCAAAGATTTTGGGGTATTTGTTCAATGGATATTTATTTCTTTTTCATACTGACGTGATTTTTGACTTTTCAGATTGTAGAATAATTTTACCTTTTAACTTAAAGGCTTTATGATTAAAATTTGTGAGATCCACGAGTTGAGTGTAAATAACATTTCATTCATAAGTCCGTGTGAATTTCACATGGTAGTAGTTTCCAACTGAAAGCCAATTAATATTTTCTTATTTATCATAAGTTAAATTGCTCAATAAGAATTAAGAAAGCCAAAAAAAAAAAGAGGTGCAAATCACTAGACAATTTTTCTTTTAACATTGAACCAAATTCGAACTACTCGAGAAAGCATGAACATGAAGACCACATGGCAGTATATGCAAAGTCAACGTAATTAGAGCAACATGGATATTGTTTACCCGAAAAATGGATAACAATTGAATTTATACGTGGTTTTAAGGATACGTGATATAAC